ATCACACCACGTCAAGGTGCAGTCTCGTCGTGATGGATGAGGGTATGAAAAACGCTAACCAGGAGTCTGGGTCATGTAGGCAACGTTAGGCCCTGGGCTGGGGACCTCGGGATGGTCGTTAGTGATGGTTAGAAACACTGAGTGATGTGGTTGTGTCGCAAGCAGTGGTGCTCATGCATCCGCTCATTCTCTTAGCAACCTAAGTCCACGTGAATACTCTATCATCTTTGATTCTGCCCTGAACATTCCAGTCTTCATTCTGCTCTTTATCCAATCGGGCAGCCAAAAGACAACAACTAAAACCTGCGCATAAGAACGCGTTTTCAATGGTTGTGTGAGTAGAAACTGAAACGGAATCATGAACTGCGATGAGGATACCAACAACAATGGCACTAGAGTAGCGGGTCAACTACGGTACTTCGAAGCTCACACTGCTCGCGGCTGCTCGCCAACCATTCAAACAAGGGGAAATTGGCACAGGAACCTCTTCAGTGCAACGTTTATCTCATCATCAAAATTGGACCGGATATTTAAAACACTACGTAGTAAAAATTTCCCAAGCTAACAGGCCACTGTTCACAGTTCCTTAATCATCTGGTTTTTCGCCCCTTGTATGCACCCTGCAGGTAACTTCATGGTTTTTGTCATTGGATTTTCCCATGTCATTACTGTCCACTAGGTCCCTGTTCTTTACCTTCATTTGACTTGAAACTGGGTTCTCACACTCAATGCAAATTGCGTTTGTTTTGAACAAATGTCTTTTTACTTCCTTTTTTATTTATTGAATATACACATGTACAGTCAACTTTCAGGATGGGGACCGCGGCCGTACAAAGACTGCATGGGAAATTACAAATATGGGGAAGACTGGCAGCAGTGGATCTGTTCGAATTCGGACTCCCGGGTCACAAATTAGTGACCTAACAGCTTGACCACCACCAGCTCAATCTTATGGGACGCTGTATGATAACCGATGCATTCACAATGATTATTTTAGTTGTATTTGTAATCCATACGTTTCTGAATCAAACAAATCGTGGAACGAAAATACTTATTAAAAAGAGAGTTATTTTAGGTAGTGTTATTCATTTTATTTGAAATGATTTTACCGGAAAATTTGTTCACCCAGAAAGTTATTTTCGGCCTGTGTACGAATAAAATGAATATCGCATTTCCCACCCCAATATCCCAATCGAAAGGCACACAAAGGAGATACAAACGAGCCAAACATCAGTGGAAGATATCTTCTCCCGTCGTTTGAGTCAGGCTGAGAAGCACCAGTTACTTCGTGTTTTAAACCAGTCCTCACCGGAAACAGTTCTGGATAATCCGTTATTGCCTAAACGGTCCATGTTTCGTGCATCCGAGGCCGTCGTGTTGGATGCTGTCATGCCGCGTTACTTATTGTTGCGAAAGGATCGACTACGTGCAGCGTATGCGAAATTGGGTCAGAAGGAGACCTATGTGAATGTGAGCTTCCACATTCATCATGATCACCTGCAGACCCAATCTTGGTGGGAGTTAAAGGAACGTGAGGGACCGGAACCGGCGGATCCTTGTTTTGAAGTGTTGCGTGAATCCGTGTTGGGGCCGCGGCAACGAGCTGTGCTCTCCATCGTCACATACAATGAGCGCGTATCTGATAGTCTGTTTGGGAAAGTGTTCAGCAATTACGGGTTCGTTGAGTGTTATCTCTCTTTTGCATGGTAGTAAACAAATAATCTTTTATGAGTGTAGTGAAGGTTTTGATTTCAATACGTGGTGAATTCGTTGTATATCTGAGCATGAGGTGAAAATCTGGGTAGCTGTTCAGTGCTTTCTGGGTTTTCAGCTCACGCTTCTTTGACAGGATGATTTCATCAAGTATGAATAATGCTTTGCTTTCTATATATACTAAATATGTAATTATACAGTTTCTAAGGAAGATTGGTAGTTTACACTCATTCAAAGACGATGGGTTTCAATCAGCATGTATTGGTCATTACTCTGATAACCCTAATCATTTTACCACTTCTGCTCTGTTTTGTCTGGCTGGCTTGTTCTCACGTTTTTTTTCGCGGTGCTTCGCGATTTATCGTTTGATGGGTTTATGTCGTCGATTATTTCCTCGATATTGGAGTTCACGACTGAAATAAACGAACCGATGTGTTATGGAAAATCGTTACAGAAGCAATCTCTGAAATTTTAGGCTCAGTGGTTTTTCGTACGTCTGTCATGTTATAGTTACCTCATCCGTTGTATTCACAATCGATTTGCTCGATGGTCAACTAAACCCATCAAATTTGGTCTTAAATTATGTCCATACAACCACCGATTATTGGCTTCGGTCAGCTAATTTGCAGGTCTTTTTCGTTTTCATTAATTGCTCTGGTCGTTCTGTCCTAATTTTATCAATTCACGAAAGAATATTGCGACTGGTAAAATGGTTTTCATATGGTTGTTCCTAGTTTAACTTTTGCCCGATAAGAACTTTTTAATCACGGTCATTTCGATCAAGAATAGTATTGATCAGATCAGACAGGAACAAATTCACTCTCATTTTCGCTCCGAACGTGCTTTTATTTCTTGTGAGTTACGCATCCACGGCTTTTTGTTACAAGTGGTGCTCCTAAATTTTTATACCGGCTTTTTTGCTCTTAGGAGTTAGTGAATTCTGAACTATAAATGCGTTCAGTTGGAAAGTATTTTTTCCCTTCTGTCTATATTGCCCTACTTACATCTTTACTCATCTCCATATCACCTTTTCTTTCATTTGCCCGACAGAATTATTGGTATGTATGCCGCCTATATATTTTTGGCCAATCGTCTCCTCCGAACTATCTATAGTAATATCTCATATGTGATTCGGTTGGAGGAGCTTCCTCATGTGGATCGAATTCTCAATTTGTGTAACGAAATATATCTCGTTCGAGAGAACAACCTGCTTCGTCTTGAAGAGCAGCTGGTTGCCAAACTATTCTTTTTGTATCGATCCTCGGAAACAATGATCAAGTGGACCAGGCACCCTAAACACATCATTGACAAATTTACAGACAACCCGGAATCACAAGGAAACTCATCACGACTGTCCCTCCCTCCTCCACCACCGCCTCCACCAGCTCCTGCAGCATCGGATTTGGGGCCGGAAGTTGATCTCGGTTTGGCTGGTGATCTAACTCACGCACCAGATCTACGATCGTACGCTACGGATCGATCGAGTTCCAATCAATACCGCGACCC